ATTCTAGAAATAATCAAGCAGTTACAGAAAATGAAAATGTATCATGACTTGAGTATGTCACTGAAATTAGTTCAGATCCTAGTGAGAGATGTTCATGTTCATTGCTTACCACACCAACTTCTCATGTCCAATGAGAACAAAGTGCACAATAGAAAAGTCAAATTTAATGAAAGAGAAATTATACTTAGTCATCTAAATATATAAAATTACTGAGTCAATATAAAATTGTCCTGACTGACTGAGTCACTGATTCATCATCGCCCAAAGCAAACTGCTGAACCTAAAGAGGAGATATTTGGTACACAGTTAGGGTACGTCATGGAAATGCACACTAAGAAGGGATTTTTCGAAATTTCCGTGGGGGAGAGAGTAAGCATTAAGACTTAACCAGAAGAACGGCTTCTACTGTACTATTTTAGATGCGATTTTTTTTGTTTTTAACTGCGATTTAGTAAGGTACGCCATGGGAATGCACACTAAGAAGGGATTTTTTGAAATTCCCGTGCGTGGGGAGAGGGAGAGCATTAAGGCTTAACCAGAGAACGGCTTTTGAAATTGATTCCCATATTTTCTCTTAAATTGATAACATTTCAGACATTGTTATAAATATTTTTATATATTTCGATTTTTTAACCAAATGTTCAAACCGTTTTAAATTTGAATTTGTTATCACATATTGGTTCAATTATAGAACAATTGTAAATGTTTCAAAAAATTGATTAAACTAAAAATAGTTTGTTTGATTCTCAGCAATTCTCATCATTCTCAGCAGTAGCTATTATATAACAATTACTATGGTTATTGAAATACTAAATATAAATGGGATTTGCTTGCAAAACCTCTGCAGGCAAAGTTGTGAGTAACAGCTAGTTAAACATAAAACAAGCGTAGACACTGATAACAGTAATATAAGTAAGTTTAAAAGTGTGAAAGATATAGTTAAGAAAGAAATGAAGTATTTCTTAGAGCAAAAAATACAAAGAACATATCTTAAAAAGATTTTCAATGTCTAATGAGAGACGTCCAAGTAGTATTAATTCTGAGAGAGCTTTTTCTAATGCAGCTGCCATTTCTATGAAAATTAGATCTAGATTAGACAACGAGAGCCTAAATGTATTATTTTTTTAAGATTCTAATTTCAAAATTACATGGTTGTCCAATAATTTTGTCAGTAATTCAGTTTTGTTTTAAAGCATTTGTCAATATGAATTTACCAGTAAATTATCAATAAACCGGTAATCTCGAATATAATTACTGAATTACAGGTAATGTAATACCCAGTAAATTTGCAATCACTAGTAACAGCATAGCAAAATGAAAGTATATGTTGTTCCATTAGGTGATGAGAGGGAGGAGTGAATAAAGTTTGTGTAGGAGCTTTGAAAAGATTGCTACAACTAGGAAAATGGAGCATAGAAGTGATTTCAGAAGAGGAAAAATCATGCTGAGTCAAAAAGCCCTTAATAAAGAAAAAAACTAACAGAAAAAATTCAAGAATATAAGAAATAAGAGGTTTTGGAGAAAGCATGAATACATGAAAAGCATTTAAGAGTGAAAGTAATTAATAGCAAAGAAGTTGAAGCATTACCAAATGCTTGGAAATGGTTCATAATCAAGATATATTTTTAATAAAGTATATTTTTTATGGTGTTAGGACCCTATTTTTTATAGGGACTTTTGTAGGAAATGAAAGAAGCAATTCATTTTCCATGATCTTATCATTATTTTATAGTTATCAAAGATTGTTGAAGTGAAAAAACAGTTCTTGCAGGGAGAGTATGAAATATTTTAAGTCTAAGAGAATGGAAGATTCAAGTAATTTTCTTAATTTCTATACTATCTTAATTTTCTTATTAAGATAGTATAGTTAAGAGTGGGTGTTAATGATTTTATATTGTACAACATCCAGCATTCCTGATGATATATAAACAAATTTAGGTGACTCAGCTACCAAGCTGATTCACTTGTGTCTCTCTGACATTCAACCGGCTTGGAGAAACTAATATTAAATAGCATGTCTATTAAAACATGCTATTTAATATATTTTTAATATTTGGCAATAATCATCAAAATCTATCAGTCATTTTAATAATCATTAAAACATTTAATCATTTAACATAATATTTATTTTCATTATGTATACAAAAATATTTGTAAAGAAAAAAGAATAGGAATGAAAAGTTGATAAATCATACTCAATGAATAAAGAACATTCATTTTTAAGTAAATGTATGTTTAGAAATGAAAAAGAAATAACTAAGAAAATTTTTAATCAATACATAATTGATTATAAATTTTTAAATATATTCTTTTATAACATTTTTCATAAAATATATACTTGTAGAATTTATTACGCTAAATCAATATAATCATATCTTCATGGATGCAATAAACAGAAAAATATGACAGAGATATCAATAAAACAAACTAATATTTTAGACATAATGTTCAATACTATGAAATTTAAAAAAATATTTTATCATCTCTTCTATTTATATCATAATCCACAAATCTCACTTCCATTATTGTATAAATATTTGTTTTTGTATTTATAAATAAATATAAAAAGTTTTGTAAATACAGTACTTACAGTACTTATATACACTAAGAAATAAATATTAACTCAAGGAATAAAATATTAAAAAAGACAATAATGTTTTTTATCATTATTTTTGAAAATATTTGAACATTTTGAAAAATAGGTTGTTTTGAATTCTTGCTGTTTTAAATCACACATTTATAATTGATAAAGTTTGTAAAATCTAGAAATGAAAAAATTTCTATCTGATAACAATTAACATAGATTATAAAAAAATGAACATTCTGTTTATAATCTAAGGCAGAATTAAAAGCTTTATAAGACAATCAAAATATTAGAGGTTTATGTATATATTAGCTCAGAATAACCAAAATTTATTAATAAAAATTGTATAAAATCATACACGTATAATATTGTGAAAATTCAACTCTTGAGGAACTTTTAAGAAGTAACACTGAATGAATAATTGCCAAGAATAATTTTGTACTGATTAAATTCAATGTTTATTTTAAAATGAAAAATCTAGAATTAAAATGTAATGTCTGTTTCTTTAAATCATAAAAACTTGCAAATTACAGAGATTTTGTATATGTTTATTGACTCCATGGAGAAACAAAGAAAATCAAAAAAATGCTTATTAAGTATAGTAAATTAAATATTTTTTGGGACTTCTTCATTCCATCATCAAATCTCTACACATTTGAAATGAATAAAAATGACAGAAATATTCATTTGAGCTTTTAATGAAATTTGAAACAGGACTGGCTTAAATTGAAGAAAAGGAACAAATATACAAAATAAATAAATTTTATTTTTATTTCTAAAATTAATATTAAAAAAATCTTAAATCCAGTAAAAAATAAAAACGCTTATTAATAGAACAAATATATTCAACCATGTTCAATGGCAATCTTTAGATTCTAGAATGGAATTTAATAACATCAAAATCTTCTTTATAGTACCTTCTACACAATTTTCCAGTAGCTTATTATCTTGATAACAACTAACATTTTTGATCCTTCAGCTAGATCTTCAGATTGAACATAAGTGCTGCATTTTAAAAAATATTCCATTAATCAAATGCATCTCCAGGTTAAAGTCTCCAGGTAAATGTTCGACCTGTAGAAAATCCAGCTGAAGGATTGAAAATGTGTCGTTATCAAGATAATAAGCTACTGAAGAATTATTTATAAGATACTACAAAGAAGGTTTGGTGCTATTCTTCCACTCCAGTATTAATAAGTGTGAGTAGGAATTTAATAAATAGAACAAGAAGAACACACACAACCAAACCGAAATCAGTAACCATGTAATTAATAAAGAAATATTTACTAATGTTTTTGTCTATTTAAAACAGACATCATCAGACATCATAACACAGAACAAATAGCTACATTAAAATCCTATTTTAACATAGCTGTTTTGGTCTGTGTTATGTGCCTGATGATGTTTATTTTAAATAGACAAAAACATTAGTAACTATTTCTTTATTTATTAATTACATGGTTACTGGTTTTGGTTTGGTTGTGTGTGTTTATCCTATCCCAGTTTTGAAGAGTTACAGAACAGAAAGCACATTTGAAATTAAAAACATTCAAAAATTATAAATTTACATAGCAAGTTATTTCTAAGCATGCAAATCTGTTTTGTTTGTTAAATTTAAGCTAGTCCATATTTGAATTATATTTAAATGCTCAAACAAATATTTCTATAGTTCTTGTTCATTTTGAATACATAGAGCAGTGGTTCTCAACCTTTCCAACTTGTGAGACAAAGGAACACCATTCATATACTTTTTATTACATGGAGCATTAGCATCAATATATTCAAAAATCAGTAAGCAATTCCCTGTTTTCTATTATCACAAAACAATGAAGCAATGAAATAATAAATTTCATTGTACTGAACAAAATAGTAAACATGGAATTGTCTAAGAATAAACTAACGTTGTTGTTGTAGCATATATTGGAATAAATTTGCAATAAAAACTTTAAAATCCAGGTATTCTATAGAATGAAGGTTGAGAACAACAGGCATAGATGATCTACTAATGAGACAAGAAAGTTCCAAAAATACATTTATTCATATACATATTCATATTCATATACATAAATGTTGATTCCTATACTTAATATAGCATTTCTATGGTTTTCTATAATTTGTTGTCATCTCAAATCATTACTGTATTTGCTTTACAATTTTATTTCAGTTTATAGTATTTATAGACATAATAAAAAATGTTCTAAATATTTATAAAAAAAAAACAAACTTTATATTTACATGAATTTCTCACGTTCTTACTAAAATCTGTCAATTCTACAGAAATAAATTCTAATATATTATTTCTTTTATGATGAATAGATTCAAATAAATTTAGAAATATTTTTAATACATAGACATTAAACCTCATTACTTTTTTTAGAATCCTGAAGTATATTAGATTATCATACATAAAACTTACCTGCAGCGAAGAAAAAGCCAAACTACTATGGATGCCAGTGTGACTGCTACCAGTCCACCTATTATTGCTATCTGCATAATAAATAAATAAGTAACTTTTGGGAAAAAAATATATTGGATAAAAAAGGAGTATTATTAAAATCAATGCATTTAAATTAAAAACTGAAAACCTAAACTAAATGCAAAAAGAAATGCTATAATAAACATTCACAAGCAAGAGATAAATATATGCACTATTACATGCAACATTTAATATCAACATTAAATTACATATAATATGTAAAATGTTTATAAGCAGATGATAATAATTTCAAGTATAAAAATGAAAAAGTAAAATAAAAATTATTACACTTTAAATATATTCAATTTTTAAATTCTGCAGAAGCATAAGAAACAAATGCTTTAATAAATCAGAGGCAAATAATACAGAGTTTATAATTTTCCTCACAATAAATTGTTAAACTTTTATTATTATTTTTTTTAATTTAAAATTTGAATATATATACATACACATTTCATGCTTGATGTTCTAAAAATTTTCCTACCATAATTACAGCATTGTTTTATAATTGTTTATAGAATAACAATTTTATAGACAAAAAATTATTTATAAAATTCTTATTTATAAAAAATGGTTAATGTTTTTTTAACATTTTTATGCAATATTAAATTCTGCTTTGCAAAAAATTAAATATTTTATATGTATCTAATTTCTCACACCATTATAAAGTATTCACTGTATAAAATCTGTTTAAAGTTTTGTATTTCCATATTTTTGGAGTAATAATTATTTTTATGGTATATATTTAATATTTAAATGACAATCATTTAATTTGAATATGTCATATAAAAAAATTTGTTGTTATACCATACCAAGTAAATTATTCTTTAAAAAAAAGAAATGTTTAAAATAAAATCAAAATTCAAATTTGAAGCTAATCCATTGTCTAAAAAATTTATAAATTTTCATGTTTAATGAATGCTGTATATTAATAAGGTCTTTAACTATTTTATTAATTCTGGATCATGAATAGAGGAACTAAAAAAGGAGAGTAAGTTCTGAATTTTCTATGAACCTGGAATAAGAAACTCTTACTGTAAAGTGAAAAAAATAATTAAATCTTGATTTAACATAAAAATACATTCTCCAAAAATTAACTAAAAATACAAAAAAATTCACTAGCAATTTCTATTATCTCAGTACATCAATGAAATGACATTTTTAAACAAAGATTTAAAATATCTCAGTTTGAATAGCTCATAAAGCTTTTAATAAGAGTTCAGAAATAACATATTTAGTAAATATAAATTACCTTACATTAAATAAATTATTTAAAAAATGAAAAACGAAANGTAGTAGCATGATTTCACATTCATAAAAGTTTTGATTGTTGCTTACAAAAAACTGATAAGTGATTTTTGACATTGTCATTTCAAGTAAATGTCTTACAGTTTAAAAAAATTTGTATAGACTGGAACAAGTAATAATCTGAGTGTGCTCGATCTGGCAAATATGGTTGGTGTGATAGCACACACCATCTAAGTCAGTGTTTCTCAACCTCTAACGAATCGTCGCCCCCTTCAATAAAACCGTTATGTAGTATCGCCCCCTTCACTTCAAAATTCCGATGGCGAGGGCCAAGGCTAACGCCAAATTCGTACTGCATTGAATAGATTAGTGACTAGTATAATGTTATTTGTTTAATTATTGTACGATATAACGAATAAAATATTCAATTATTCTTAATATAATGTTTTACTATATCGCCCAGAAAATTGCTTTTTGTTCCCCAAAATATAAATTGTTACTAATCGCCCCCTCAAAATGGAAAAATGCCCACATGGGGGCGATATCGCCCCCGTTGAGAAAAGCTGATCTAAGTTATAACAATTTCTGACCAGTTACCAAACTTGTGTGAAATTTGACATTATCGTGGTGAAACACCACCTGTTTTGTCAATCAATTCTGGCCACCTTTTCTGTTTGATGATATTACTCAATTTGTTTACTCGATGGCAGTACACTTTCAAATCAATTGTTATATTTTCTGGTAAAAGCTCCAAAAAAAAAATTTCCTTAAAATTCCATTGAAGAGAGCATTAAGCTCTCTTTAATTAAGAACATGTGGGACCCATATATCAAGCTTTGAAACAATGTTTCAAGTAATCATAAATGGTTCAATTTGACAAATTTAATCTCTTTTAGTGATTTCACATGTTGCTATTTGGCAGTTTGCTTCAATCAGTACCTTTTTTATTTTGTTTTCATTGGCTTCAACTGGCCATCCAGAACATGGTGCATCTTCAATATTGAAATTGCCAGAACAAAATTTTGTAAATCAGTTTTGGCACTGTCTTTCTCTCAACACATCTTCTCCATACACGTCGCACAATTTTTTTCTCACTTGAACAGCATTCTTACCTTTTTCAGTAATGAAAGAGTAAAATATGCCGAAATTGCTGCTTTCGATCTTCCATATTTGATGGGACACAAAAAATAAACAATTGCACAAATTCACACAAAATTTTTTACAAATAAGCCTTAAAATGCTAGCTGTCTAAATATATAATGATAATACGGTGTAGAATGAAAATGGCGGGAGAAATATGACTAAGCCGTCTAGTGGTAAAAAAACGAACTTAATTTCCGAACAACCTAATAGTATGTGCTTTTAATATCAGATTTACGAATTATAATTATTGTTGTTAATTAATAATAATTCATCCAATGTGTGCTGCTGTTTTTTGTTTTTGTTTATTTAATACTATCTTTAATAGAAACTAATGCATAAGTGAAGTAAAAAATTCCAATGATTTAAATTACAGTTATTGGACAAATAACTAAAATATCAAACATTTAATGTTTAAAATATTGGTTAAACCTGATAACATGTAATCATTATCAGCTAAGTTAGTCCACCACTGGCCAATTGGCTAAAATCACCAAACACTGATAGTTGGTCGGTTGTAGGGTCACTCCTCACCATCAGGCTGACCATCTGAAGTTTTCCAGGTTTTCTTGTTAGTAAAACCTAAATAGGGATCATTTTTTCCCATAAAAGACCTCCCAGAAAGCATTCTCCCTTGGCAGATCATCTATTTGTCACTTTACTGTAGACATATAATAGCAATCAGCCATGTTGAGCTGATAGCACAAAAAGACAGCTTAAAAGTGTCTTTAGTTGAAGATAATAATGACAACAATAACTGAAACTGAATACAATAAGTGAATTATACTGTATTTAAGAAGATATTGACACATTCATTGGGTTGCAATTTTTTTCAAATTTCAACCCAATAAACCTATAAATTCCCATTGTCATCCATCCATCTGTCCTTTAGTGTCAAGAAAGAGATAGATACATGACTAGACCAGATATAGAAAGTATGGGAGCTGGAGGCCACGATTAACTATACATGAACTTCTGGCACAAACCAGAAGCTATGTTATTTCAATTCAAAGCTTTTCCCCCGAAAGGGATTAGATAGATGACTGGCACAACTCCATTACATTAAAAATATGATGTACAGGGGCAAGACACTGCAGTATACTAATTTGAGGTGGGGAGCATATATTTTAAATTAAATAAATTAAAAATATGATTACTAGCATAGCAGGGGGGTCTATCATGTCCTGGCGCCACTCACAGAGGGGCCCAAATGGTCTCCAAGACAAGCAAGATTTGTTTCTGGAGGGAGGGGGAACGTCAATAAAGTGTATGCCCCAGGTGCTAGTTATGTTTGTTACACCACTGACTATGATTAAAAATTGCAGCCTGGCATTGTGATGATGTCACAATAAATAATTGCTCGTTAGTATTTAGTATTTATACTGTTTGGGTATAACTTAAATATTTACTTTAACAAAGATAGTTTTTTTTAATGTTTAACACTTAACATAATTGTTAAAAAATGAAACCTATTTGTGCATTTGTATTCACTTCAGAATATTGATTATTTTTTAAAAACTGTGTGTGTAATTTATAAATATATAAAATAAATATATTTTCAATGAAAGAAACAAATTCTCAAAAAAAAAAAAACAAAAAAATGTACTTAAAAATTCCAAACAACTGTATTTTATTTTGTCGACCATTGTATAACATTAAACTATTAAAAAAAATTGCATTTCATTCAATTAATTCTTCTAATTGGCATTCCTACAGTGGCGTGTTATACCTTTAAGTGATCCACGAATTCAAATTAAGAGGCTTTGCATTCAACATTTTTCTTTGAGGAAAAATATTTTCTTATAAAAGATAGGTTTGGGGCCCCGTCAAATAGGGAAATTGCCTTTTTTGCTCGTAGGATAATGTGCCAGCGGACAATTACAAAACATTTGTTTACATTCCACACCACCTACATCTCATTCTCTTTCTTACATTAATTTTATACATTATTAATACAAAAAATCATGTAATGTCTTCTCTATTTTTAAACACATAGTTAAGAGCTAAAAATATATAATTTAATCAGAATTCTGAAAAGATTAAATTATGATTTGATTTTACCTATTACCTATTAAAAAACATATAATTACCTAAAACATGTGTTTTGTTTTAGAGCAGAGATTACTTTCAGTTAATTTATCTATGCATTTGTATACATGACAATTAATTAAAAGTAACACCTACCCAAAAAGCTACATATTGATGTATAGTCTGATAATCTTCATAAAACTATAGGAACTATAGGCATGGGTTAATTGTATACAGAAACCTGACCGTCCTGAGAATGATTTTAAGCCACTTACCCAGTAATAATGACCAAAAAACGTCTTAAACTCATTGTCCATCGCCTTCTTTCCTACTCGACCATGTATATAGGACGATGACAACGGTTCATACGTTAAGTTTATTAGAGCAATTAATATATTTACCCATTACCCTTTTAATTACTGACAGATCATGGCTTAGAAAACGAAATAAAACCAATCAAACGGAACGTGTTCACGAATATTAACGAAGTAACCTTGCCAAACTTTAACTAAACTCATGACGTCAATTTCACACGTCAATTTCTACTACACTAGCACATGCGTTATGATCACTTCCGTTTCCTGCATACAAAAAAAAATTTATATATATATATATGTAATATATCTATATATATCGCCTCGATTTCCTTATATTATTAATTTAAATGCATATTAAGTTGTTTAAATACGCTTTATACATATAACTTTCGTAAAATTAAATATATGCATATGGCCTATTTATTTATATATATGGCGTGTATATTATTATTTGGCATTGAGTTTATGGAAGGCGAATGCTGCGGATGATTTTTTTAATAGTGTGGCTCGGTGAGGCTGTAAGGCACGTGGGTGACCTTTTTTGACCTTTGACACAGTTACCCCGCGAAAAAAAAAAATGGTGCGCAGTCGACAGGATTCGAACCTGTGCGGGAATATCCCAATGGATTTCAAGTCCATCGCCTTAACCGCTCGGCCACGACTGCTTATGCATTAATAACCTTTCATATTCTTATATAACGAGAGCGTACGCGATTAAATATCAAAATGGCGGTTCGGATTATTATAATTAACGGCCGAGTTAGAAGACGCGTGAAATAATACGAAACTTCCGTCCCGACCCTACTTTTCGAAATGCAATGTGTTGTACAGCAGCGTGCATAACGATGTACGTCATACAACGCCATCTATTAACAATTTATCGATTAATAATTTTTTTTATTACGTAAATTTATTTACGCTTTAATAATATTAATTAACAATTTTATCCGAAAATACGTATTCGAATCGAATTTAAGAATATCTATAGATATTTTTAATCGATAATCGAAAAATTTGAAATAATTCACGATAATTCTATTTAACATGTAATCGGCATTATTAATTATTTAATTGTGTTTTTAAAATTAAAATTATGCTTAATAAAGCGATAAAATTAACGTAACTTACATATAATCGTATGCACATATCGAAAAAATAAAGTCTAAAATCGTATGTAAGAGTTAGAATAAGGAACGCTCCATCCGAGTAATACAATAACGACAAGAAAAAAAAACAGTTGAATTATTTAAATTTTATTCTAAAAATACTCATGTCGGAAATACGATAGATATCTTTTTTTTAAAAAAAAACAGAGAAATATCGTAAAAGTTTCGAATGAAGTGATTCATACAGCCACTCTTAACGTTGTTTTCCTGTTACGCTTATCTAGTCGTATTTCTTGCGATAAAATATTTTTATTTGTCTACAAAAATAGATAAAAATTTAATTATACGTGTCTTCTTTTAGGGCATTATATATTGATTAAGTTGCAATAATCTAGATTTATTTTATAAGCGATAGATTTTCCAATCGATAGCTCTCGAACCCTTATATAAATATCGATTCCAACTTACGTAATTAATCGATTATTTTGCAAAATTTTTTTATTAAAATAACCAATATTAATCGATTATATCCTCCGGCATGTAAAAATATTCATTTTTTAAAATTGTTTTTCTATACAAAAATAAAGTATAATTAAACGACTATTAAAAAATTAATGTGGAAATTTCTTCGTAATATATGTATTTTTTTTCAAATAAAATTTAATTTTCTTGAAAAAATAAAATTTAATTGTGTTAATTAAATATGTTTTATTTCTATCTCATTACGTTACTTTTGTGCGCAATATTCAAAAAAATTGTAATGATTGCGCATTAATATTATTAATTTATTATACTGTTATGAACAATGAATCAGAGAATATTTTACAGAATATTTCGAAAGCAATAAATGTTTAAACATAAATTAAGCCTAAATTATTGAATATCGATTATTAATTTGATTTAATAATAGAAACAAGACTAATTTTTTTTTTAAATTAGTTAATGAAAAAAAATTATTATATCATTCGTCAACAGATGGCACCACATAAGATCATTTTTGTTAAAAAATTTAATATATTTAAATTTTAAAATCATAAAGCGTTTTAATCCCCGTAATATAACATAATAAATTATAAAATTTTCAATTCTTATACTTAATAATATTTAAATTTAATATTAAATACTTAATGTAAATAAATAATCGAGACTAAGACTTATTTAAGTATCGTATTTAAACGTTAAAATCCTTATTTAAACGCCATTTTGACGTAATAATTTTTCATAGACATCGATTCGAAATTCAAAATTTCAAATTGTGACGAGTTCGAAAACGGGTGTTTGACATCACACTTTAAATTCCAACAAGGATCAATCTACCAATGAGAAGCGTCCAGCACACAATGTCGTATGCAACGTTGTGTCATTCTATTGGTTGGTAGTAAATCGTGGTGTTATGCTATTGGCAGTCAGCACGAGAAGAAGCCGGTAGGGATAAAAACCGTGGAACGTACTTCACCTAATCACATTTCGATCAGTGAACATTATTGTGGGTGCTGTTTGATCCCATTTTTTTCTTTTTAATAACTGAATTATTCAAATATGAGAAGAAAACTTTTATTTCTAGGCGTGTTGTTATTGGCAGGTTAGTGAATTTTCTCATCTACTAAGTGAAATTTAATAATTATAATGTTTTTTTAAAATTTTTTAATAATAAATGGAGGATTCTAGAATTCCTATTTTATTAATTGAGTTTTAAAGAGTAAAATTTATAAGTTTCCTGATTAATAAACTTTTCATTTGTAGGATTTTCTTTGTTTCAGCACTTCTTTAAATGTCATTTGTATTTACAGATTGCCTGAGTTATAAAGACAAAGTTCTTATATATTTTTATAATAAAAACTATATATTTGATAATTTATAAACACTGCTGAAGGTATTTTATGACTTCATTTTAAAGTGTGATTTTAATTGATTGAATATTAAGAAAGATACCTTTAAAATGCATAATTTAATTGCCTTTTTATAAAATTTAACTTTAAGTCAAGTTATTGTTTTAGCAAACGATTGGAGAGAGAAATGATCGTAAACAAAGACTCCATTTCCTGTAATATTTAAAGAGTGGGATATTGGGTGCATTAACCTGACAGATTGATGTGTCTGTAGCTTTTGAAAGAAAATTTATAATTTCGCAGTTGAGAAAATTGCAGTATTAGAGATAAAATTTAATAACTCAAATGTGTTTACAGTTTAAAATGTAATGAGAGTCTAATCAGTTGTGTTTTTCTTGTAGCTACTCTTTGTTTGGCCGAAGACGAGACTGAAAATGAAATCAAAGTTGACGAAGATTTGGGTAGCAGCAGAGAGGCTTCTCGTACGGATGACGAAGCAGTACAGAGGTAAAGTATTATTTTATTCTTAGATAACAATTTATTAATTTATAGTATTTTATACAAGTAAAAATATGAGACTGTTTTTTCATATGATAGTTTGTCTTGTTTACAGATAAAAACCATTTGTTCAGACATTGCAAACTAAAATTTTTCAGTTTTACATTTATATAAAATAATGACAAGCTTGTGAAACTTTAAATGAAACATATTCAAAGATGTTCTTTTGTTAATTGTGTACAATCTATTTAGGAATCTTAACTCTTCATCCTGTCTTATTGTACAGATAATCAGATTAGGAAATACTGATGATGTAATCCTATGTCAGAGTTTTTTCTTTAGTATTTCTTAGTTTACGCAGTAAAACTCCCATAATTTGCAAAGAATAATTCTGAAAAACAATAGATAATTTCAAAGTGTGAAGAAATGCTATTTTATGTTTCCGATTTTGTGCTTTGAAAATACTGTTATTGCAAAATTAACTCCTGTTTTGATCTTAGGAAATTTGAGTTTATACACTTAAACAATTGTCAAATTCTAAAAACTTTTTACAAATGCAAATTTTATTCAAGCAAAAATTATCACCACCTTTAACTTTGAAATATTTTTGTTCATCTTCAGCAATAATATGTAATAAAACCACTTTAAAATTTTTAATATTATTGCTAAAGATAGCCAAGAATTTGTTTTAAAATTAATAAAACCTAATATACTGTAATTAGATATTTAGAAACTTCATTTTTTTTTTTTTTTTTTTGTTTTTTAAATATGGGGCTGTTTTAACAAGATAGAATTCAATGATTAAAATTCATTAAGTATAGTAGTAATGCCAATATTATAAATGAATGTATGTACTGTGAGTTAATACAGAAATCAAATTGTTTCAGATTTAAAGATAAACTTAACTTTTTAGGAATTTTGGTGAAGTTCGCTTGCCTTCATTTTAAAAGGGGTATATGGTGATCTCTGTCGCCATATATGTGTAAAACATCACTAATCCGAACAGCCCTATATAATAATTAGTTTGGATTAGTCAGTTCTTTGTATTTAGTATTGTAAATACAATTATTAGTCAATGCATCATTTAAAATCACACCTTCTCATATTTATTATTATGATTACCTGCTGCTATCTCACTTTTGTAACTTTGTTTTTGCTATGTCGAGCACACCAGTTGAATGTGTAACCTAAGTCCATGGAATTAATCACAAGCTGTAACTTTCAGTTAGTACCCCTTTATTCATGATAGAAAACATGCAAGGGAGACAAAGCAAGCCAACGAGCTTGGTTACAACCACCTACCAAAACTGGTTTTTTGAACAAAAGAGATTTGTGCCTAATTTATTGTTCTTTTCCCAGAAAAGAAAACACTTGGGGCAATAACAGTGACATGAAATCTGGTACTGTTTAAGACTGTTAATAGCTATTTTCTTCTGATTCTTTATCTATATCTATACCCATTTAATATCATATCTATGGGACTGTCAAAATATGGTGATGTTTGATGAATAGGTTTTAACTGCACAGTACATGAAGGCCTATATATATCTTTCATTTGCCACATTAAATTTAAATACATAACAAGCAGTTCAGGTTATTATTATCAAGTATAAAATTACATATACATACTGTAATCATGAAGTCAAATAAAGTAAAACAAAGAAAACTATACCTTTTTGCTTTCAATTTAAGTGTGAATTTCTATCAGAATGTGGTATTTTTTTTCCAATGTTTGCTCAGCTTTTAACAAGTGATACCTTAACAGTAGGCTGGATGGCCGAGTGGTCAAGGTGGCAGCCTACCGCTCTGGGAACCTGGGATCAAATCTGGATGGGTCCAAAAAAAAACCAGGAATTTTTCAGGGGGTGGTCTGTTCGGATATGTCAGGGCCCCGTCCCTCACCACCCAGTTTCCCCATCGTGGGCCTGGCCGAACCCATAATGGGCCTGCTTTAAGAACAGACCCATTATGCCCAAAGGGCAGAAAGAGTATTAAAAAAAAAAAAGAAGATACCTTAACAGTTGAAACCTCAATGCCAAATTTATCTACAAATGTTTTTCCTCAAAATTTTCTTCAACTTGTTTCATAATGTCTATTTTACCATTTAAGTTAAGATTGACAGATTTACATCTAGCTACTTTTTTTAATCACAATTTACATCTAGCTACTTTTTTTAATCACAATTTGCATTAATTGTTACACAGTACAATTAATCTTTACAGTGTACTCGATTTGATAAGAATGACCAAATGATACAGGGCTCTCAAAATCATATTTTGGTCAAGAAAACTGTTAGACTTCACACTTAAAATTATTTTTTTTAAATATGGGATTTTATAACTTTTAAAACAGGTATTTTGTTTTAAATTTAAAAATTTATTAATTAAAAATATGTCAGTAAATTGTGCTGATAACACTGTTTAGCTGTTTATGGCTGTGAACTTTGTATGCATGATACATTCCACTTAATATACCTTGACATTAACTGATTTCTGCTAATAGTGGGAGTGACATTTAACCATACAAAACTTCATAAACTTCAGCTAAACTCTCCATAAATTTATTTATGGGGAGGTTAGCTGGCAACAAATTTCTGACAATAACCAGTATGTCATATAGAGGAGGTTCAACAATATCTAGTTTTTTTTTTTTTTCATCTTTCTTTGAAATCCAATGCAGCTATTTAATTTCTCCTTGAATGTGAGATATATTTTNTTGAAATTTTTAAAATAAAATCAAAATTCAAATTTGAAGCTAATCCATTGTCTAAAAAATTTATAAATTTTCATGTTTAATGAATGCTGTATATTAATAAGGTCTTTAACTATTTTATTAATTCTGGATCATGAATAGAGGAACTAAAAAAGGAGAGTAAGTTCTGAATTTTCTATGAACCTGGAATAAGAAACTCTTACTGTAAAGTGAAAAAAATAATTAAATCTTGATTTAACATAAAAATACATTCTCCAAAAATTAACTAAAAATACAAAAAAATTCACTAGCAATTTCTATTATCTCAGTACATCAATGAAATGACATTTTTAAACAAAGATTTAAAATATCTCAGTTTGAATAGCTCATAAAGCTTTTAATAAGAGTTCAGAAATAACATATTTAGTAAATATAAATTACCTTACATTAAATAAATTATTTAAAAAATGAAAAACGAAAAAAAGAATTAAATATGTTTTGAATAAAATCCCAAATTCAGATGTAAAAATGCTTTAAAGTTTATCTATGTAAAAATTATAAAGTTCTGACTGTAAAAATCAAAACAATTGGATCTTTGTTTATTAATTTCTTATAAATTTAATTTTATTTAACACATATTAACTATTTAAAGCCGGTAAAGCATTCAAAAAATGAACACCAAACATTTTTATAGTTACTGATATATTACTGTATAGCAATCTCATGACCTTGATCTGTGATTTAAAATCACTAAATCCATTTTTGATTGATGTTTTGTTTTTGAAAAGATAAATTATAGCAATAAAAATTATGATTAATGAATATCTGCATTATACATAAATTTGTTATAAGCTATATATAGAATGTGATATATATTGAACATAGTCTTATAGTCCCTGTAAAAGAGACTTATCTGCAACTACCCTATGTTTTAGAATGAAGCATTTTTAATAAATTCATAAGATCTCTTTGTACAGTTTTTAACTGTTTAAAATAAACAAAAAGATTTTCTATAAAATTGTAATAAATAAAATTTTATCGACTCATACAAATTACACAAAACTTTTATAATATTTTGATACTTTCTGTGAATATTACTATTTTAATATATAAACCCTCTTTTTATACATAATTTTAATTACTAAAAATAATTAAAAATAATGTACTGTATTAATAAAATGTAACTGAATAAACGAATGAAATGAGAGGTGTCTTGACAGATATTTAAGATATTTTTGCAAATANTTTTTTTTTTTTTTTTTTTTTTTTTTTTTTTTTTTTTTTTTTTTTTTTTTTTTTTTTTTTTTTTTTTTTTTTTTTTTTTTTTTTTTTTTTTTTTTTTTTTTTTTTTTTTTTTTTTTTTTTTTTTTTTTTTTTTTTTTTTTTTTTTTTTTTTTTTTTTTTTTTTTTTTTTTTTTTTTTTTTTTTTTTTTTTTTTTTTTTTTTTTTTTTTTTTTTTTTTTTTTTTTTTTTTTTTTTTTTTTTTTTTTTTTTTTTTTTTTTTTTTTTTTTTTTTTTTTTTTTTTTTTTTTTTTTTTTTTTTTTTTTTTTTTTTTTTTTTTTTTTTTTTTTTTTTTTTTTTTTTTTTTTTTTTTTTTTTTTTTTTTTTTTTTTTTTTTTTTTTTTTTTTTTTTTTTTTTTTTTTTTTTTTTTTTTTTTTTTTTTTTTTTTTTTTTTTTTTTTTTTTTTTTTTTTTTTTTTTTTTTTTTTTTTTTTTTTTTTTTTTTTTTTTTTTTTTTTTTTTTTTTTTTTTTTTTTTTTTTTTTTTTTTTTTTTTTTTTTTTTTTTTTTTTTTTTTTTTTTTTTTTTTTTTTTTTTTTTTTTTTTTTTTTTTTTTTTTTTTTTTTTTTTTTTTTTTTTTTTTTTTTTTTTTTTTTTTTTTTTTTTTTTTTTTTTTTTTTTTTTTTTTTTTTTTTTTTTTTTTTTTTTTTTTTTTTTTTTTTTTTTTTTTTTTTTTTTTTTTTTTTTTTTTTTTTTTTTTTTTTTTTTTTTTTTTTTTTTTTTTTTTTTTTTTTTTTTTTTTTTTTTTTTTTTTTTTTTTTTTTTTTTTTTTTTTTTTTTTTTTTTTTTTTTTTTTTTTTTTTTTTTTTTTTTTTTTTTTTTTTTTTTTTTTTTTTTTTTTTTTTTTTTTTTTTTTTTTTTTTTTTTTTTTTTTTTTTTTTTTTTTTTTTTTTTTTTTTTTTTTTTTTTTTTTTTTTTTTTTTTTTTTTTTTTTTTTTTTTTTTTTTTTTTTTTTTTTTTTTTTTTTTTTTTTTTTTTTTTTTTTTTTTTTTTTTTTTTTTTTTTTTTTTTTTTTTTTTTTTTTTTTTTTTTTTTTT